AGGAGCAGCAGTGTGCGTGGGTGTGTACTCTGAAAGTGCATGGCCCTTAGTGTGTGTGTGTGTGTGTGTGTGTTAGTCTCATACTTACAACAATTCTAGGAGTTGCTATTTTTATTATCTCCATTTTATAGGTGAGGAATTATTCATTCATTCACTCATACATTTATTAAAAGTCCCCAGTGTTACTGAGCACCTGTCCTGGACTAAGTGCTGGTCATAGAGTTGAACCAGAGGACCAGGGGGAGCTCCAAGGACCTTGGCCAAGGTCACACAGTGAGTAAGCTGTGTGCAGGTATTCTGGGTTCCAGCCCCAGCCCCTCCTCCTGCACCACCGCTCTGCGCACGTGGCAGAGGTCCTATGCTGTGTCCCTGCAGTGATGGCTGGGTGTACATGGAAGCTGGGTACTGAGGTGGCACTTTGGGGCACAGGTGCGCAGCCACATCCAGAATCCCAGGGCTGGGCAGGAGTTTGAAAGGTCCCGTCTGCAGCCTCAGAGTGAGATGGTGCCTAAAATACCCCCATCAGTTACGGTCTATGCCTCAGATACCATGAGAATTCGGGTTCCCTGGGGGATTTTCCTCAAATATTTGGTGGAGCAAATTGGGCTCCTTATTATGTGGATGTCGTGGCTTTCTGGGAGCTGGACAGTTCTTAATAATAATAGGTCAAATAATAAGAGATCATTTGGTTTATCACCACCTTCATTTTACAGGTGAGGAAGCTGAGACCCAGAGAGGTTGGGCAACAAGGCCAAGATCACACAGCTGATTAATACAGGACCTCAAGACTGCTGCCTCCAAGCCTGCTGCTCTGTCTCTGATACCATGATACCTGAGATGTTCTGGAGGTAGAAAGGTGCCCAGTCCTTGCCTCACTCAGCTTCCCACGATCTGCCCCGGCACCTCTCCCTTTCGGTCCCCTGGCTCCCTCCCTCTGCCTCCGCGGGATACCAAATGCTCAGCTCACAGTTGCTCCTTGCCTGATTGCATCTGAGAGCTGGAAACACAAGGCTAATGAATGTGTCTGTGACTCTAGGCTTGGCTGCCGGGCCCGGGTCCCCATGCCCTGCCTGGAGCGCGGCAGACTCTGCGAGCCGGCCCCCTGGCTTCTCCATGCAGGCTGCTGGCAGATGCATATTTTAACAGTGCACATCTGTTGGCTATGTAATCTCTCATATTTGCCCTTTCCACTTGGTGCTTTGATGGAAGACCCCTGGGGGTCTCCCTCTGTTCCCGTCAAAGTGTTTGCTTTGCAGTTTTGCCAGAATACCATCTGATTCTGCTCTCACTTCTTCTGCAGGTTCTAATCAGGCTCTTACTTTATTTAATTAAAAATCTATCTCAGACAAATACAGACTAAATTAGGAAGCTCTCTCATTCCTGGAGCACGGGGAAGGCAGCCCCTCTTGGGGAGCCGGCTGGGACATCTTCCCAGGCTGAGATGTCACAGCGAAACAGCAGATGGGACCTTGGTTGGGAAGCTGACTGGCCAAGGTAGAAACACCCCTCTCTCCTCTGCTGGAACAGGACCCCTGTCTATCCATCACCGTGAACAGACCAGGGCTCCACTTCTAGAAGCCTGGGTCAGCTTCTGCACGCAGGGCCTCCCTCCAGGGCAGCAGGTGGGGCTGCGTACCTCGCAGAAACAGCCAGAGCCCTGCAGGCCCAGCCCCCACAGGCCCAGCCCTGGGGCGGGGACCTAGGATGGCCTTGAGGAGTCAGGGAGGACTGTAGGCCGGACCTAGGGAAGCTCTTTCCTGCCTGGGGTTAGTTTGTTCAGGAGGAATGGTTTTTGTGGAGTCTGTATGAAAGGCTGATGGACAAGCGTCAGCTCCGGTCCCCTTCCAGGCTCAGGGAGTCCACCCAGGCCATCCTGCTGGGGTCTCCTAGAAGCTCTGCCTTCCGCCTCTTCACCTGATCTCCAGGCATGTAAAATATCTCTCCCCCAACAGACCAGCTCAGTGCCCAGGAGGCAGTGCCAGGTCAGGCCAGTGGAGTCGGGGTGCGGGGGTGGCGAGCCTTTTATATGTGACCCAAGACAAAATTAAGTCTCTTGAGATCAGATCCCAAGACCTGGCTCTGAGTCTTGGCTTTTAGCCAGCCAGACGAAGGAGATTCTGCTTGCTTTTAGAAACTCGGAGACTGGGCAGGAAGCATTGGTTTGGAGTTGGAAAATCTGGGGACTATTCTGAGGGTTAATTGAGCTGTGTGACCTCCCATGAGAGCCTTTACCTCTCTGAGTCTCAATGTCCTTATCTGTAAATAATTTGGGATAATGTGGACTTTGTTATCTAACAGAGATTGTGGGAAGGAAAGGAGGCTGTAAGTGGCCGGATATGACTAGGAGAAGCTCCGATACCAGGACGGGAACTTAAGGATGAGAGGCGTCTCCATCTGTTTTCGGTCCTGCATGAGGTCAGGAGTGGGTACTGCTCAGATTCCTCCCATTTTAGCATCTCTGGGACCCTCAAGAAGGAGTACAAAGTGGGTGGGGGTAGGGGGGCTGTAAAATCTCTGGAGATGAAGATTCTACAACTCTGCTCAGCAAATCTGTTCTGGTCTTTTGCAATCCTCAAAAATCAGAAAATATATTAGACACTAAATCCTCCATCTCTCCTCCCTCAGTAACTATACCAGTTGCAGACCTGGTCCCATTTTATCCACCATCTCAGGAGAGATGAAGGCGTCAACCTCTCTTCTCAAAAAAACTAAAAACAGGCTTATCCTATGATCCAGCAATCCCACTCCTGGGCATATATCTGGAGGGAACTCTAACTTGAAAAGACACGTGCACCTCAATGTTCATAGCAGCACTATTTACAATAGCCAAGACATGGAAGCAACCTAAACATCCATTGACAGATGACTGGAAAAAGAAGTTGTGGTATGTTTATACAATGGAATACTACTCAGCCATAAAAAAGCATAAAATGATGCCATTTGCAGCAACATGGACGGACCTAGAGATCATCATTCTAAGTGAAGTAAGCCAGAATGAGAAAGAGAAATACCATATGATATATGTGGAATCTAAAAATAAGATACAAATGAACTTATTTACAAAACAGACTTATAGACATAGAAAACAAACTCATGGTTACCAGTAGGGGGAAGAGGGTGAGAAGGGATAAAATGGGAGTTCAAGATCTGCAGATACTACTATATATAAAATAGATAAACAAGTTTCTACTGTACGGCACAGGGAACTATATTCAATATCTTGTAGTAGCCTATAATGAAAAATAATCTGAAAAGGAATATATATGTATGTTCATGTATGACTGAAACATGCTATGCACCAGAAATTAATGCAACATTGTAAACTGTATTTCAAAAAAAAGGAAAAAAAAAAAAGACGGCAGCCTCCCCCTTAAACACTGGAGGCCTGCTTCCTGGTCAAGTGAACCCAGCTTATTTACCCTCCAGACCAAGTTTATTTTCTCAATCCTTTCATCGCAGGCAAGGGGAGACTCGGAGGTTGAATGGGATTCCTGAGGTTGGCCCCCGAGTTCCTCCTCCCCGCTCAGGAAGCGAGGTTCCGGGCTGGGTGAGTGGCCCTCCAGGGCCTGTCTGCAGCTGTGCTTGGGGCAGGCTGCCCCGCGAGCTGGCCATGTAGATCTGAAGATAACCTGACACCCTCTTCAATGTTTCATCCCTGAGCAGCCGTGCGCCTCATCTGCCTGGCGGCGAGGAGGCAGCACCCCAGCTGCTGGCCCTGTTGTCAAACTTCACGGCAGCTGCTGGAGGCGGGCAGGGCGGGAGGGGGCCTCCCTCCTCTGGCTGCCTGTGCACCACCCACAACGCACGGCTCTTTGCTTCTCTGAGCCTCAGCCTCTCATCAGGGGCAGCAATCCCTGTCCGGCAGAATGGGCGAGGGAGCCAGGGAGCGTGAGGGAGAGTGCTGTGAGCACTGCTGTGAAGCACTGTGCAAATGTGAGCTATTACTACGTGTGCCGGCTGGGTTCCCAGCAGGCCGGGCTCCTCCTAGCATCTGGCCGGAGGAGGGAGTCGACGGGTCAGAACTCTAAATCAGGACAAGGCAGCTTAAGGGGTAGCTGAGCCCATTCCCTGGTCTCCAGGCAGGTGTGCCTGAGTCAAGGAGTGGGGGCCTCTCCAGGCAGGTTGTCCCAGAGACACAGGGCTCCTAGGAAGCTGAGATGAGGAAAGACCAAGGGGCAAAGATGTGATTTGGAACAAGAGCCTGAAATGACGTTTCCTAGGGGTGATGTAGGCAGCCCAGTCCTCTACCGGAGAGCCAGGTCTCCCAGGGGTCAGTGAAGGTGGGAGGGAGCAGGGTCGGGGTGGCCCCTGTGGGGGCTGGAATAGAATCACAAGGAGGATCAAGCTCCAGGCTGAACCTGACGGGGGAGGTGGTAGACGGGGCTTTGTTAGCACCCAGGGGAGGTCGAGTCAGGAAGAAGGAGCTCAGGGATGTGTCCCCTTCTCTATATCACCATCTCCCAGCACAGGACCTGACGTGGATCACATATGCAGGACCTGCTTCCTGACCGAGTAAATAAGCACTGAGGAGCCCTTTTTAGCGCCCCTGCTGCACACACAAACTGTCCCCCAGGGCTCCGGCCACTGCTGCCCCATATGTCAGTACCTCCTCCCCAAAAGGGAGAAAGTGAAATTTCCTGCCCTGGACATCGGAAGGCCGATGCCAGCTGACCCATGTCCATCGGGGGGGCCCCTCCAGCCTGGCCCCTGGCTTCTGGAGCTGAGCCCAGGGTGCTTCCCACAGCATCCTCACCCCCGTGTACGGCCGGCTCTTACCTAGGACGGTGAGGCGTGCGGGGCGGGACCGGATGGCGGCCTGGATGGCCTGGCACTCGTACACGGCATCGTCTTGCAGCTCAGCCCGCAGGATCTTTAGGTGATGTTCCCCGGACAGGTGGTTCCCTACCACCAGGTACTGTGGGTAACCTGCGGGGAGAGCAGGCATATCAGGGGGGCTGGGGCAGCGGTGGAGGAGATGGTCGGGACAGACCGGCTCAGTGGAGGGGACACTTGAACAGGAGTGGTGGGGCTGGTCTGGAGGGCTGGCAGAGCAGGTGACCGCTCACAGTCCTGGTCTCAGTGCAA